ATAATAACAGGTTTAAAACACAATTAAGTAAGAATTTTTAAAAAATTTTCATTTTTTATGTTTTCCAATACATCTCTTTTAAATTAATACCTATAACTTGCTGCACATGTAATAATTTCAGAAAGAGGCATTTCAACAGTTTTTAATCACACATTAATCCATATTGTACCATGTCCAAGGTTTATAAAACCACACAATGATCTTGGCACCTTTGGCTTCAGATGCCTGATTTGGCACGTTATTTTTTTTTAAAAGCATCGTTTTGAGAATGTACACTGAACCTTTAAACACCAGGGGTGAGAGTCATGATCATTTTAGTGAATTTGAAATTTGTTGCCAGCTTTTGGAGAGACAGGATTTTTTACTTCCTGATCATTTCAGAAAAACTCATATTTCCAACTGTTTCAGTTTAGTTATCTAAAAATTAACTCTGAACAACAACTTCAGAGTTGAAATTTTCAACTTTAGAAGCCCCAATACAGTATTGAAAATTAATCTACTGGAAAATTGACCCTAAATTCTAAGTCTATAGATCCAGAAGTTTTGAAAGTCAGGCACTTACTTGGCACTTAGATTTGAAATACTGGCCTTTCATTGCATGAAACATACATCAAGAGTTTCAATGTGTAATATATATATTTGTGGTTTGTTGATTGATACATAAACCCTCAGGTTCCTTTACTTAACTCTAATTTAAGAATTAACTAATTATTCCTATTTCTGCAAATTGTGCAAGAACAACATTCGCAACATGTCTGGATTTGTTTTCAATTCAGAGCAATGTATGAAAATTGAATATTTTATGGTGATTTGTAGACATTTTAGGAAAAGGAGACTGCAGCCTGTATCATAGGTATACAATACTTAGCTTCTCAGTAATGCTTAAAAAGCCTAATTCTAGCAATTAGAGGTTTTCCCAGGACAAACAGGATTCCTTATTTCCATGCAGCTGTCTTCAAAAAACACCTTTATGAGCCCTCAGGTAGAGCAAGTGTCAGGAGCTGGGGGATGTTACAGAGATTCTGAGCAACTTCACAACCTCCAGAACAGGTTGAGAGGCTGTTCTGAAATACTGTGTAAAATAGGACGGGTGTTATCACAGCAGTCTCTGGGCTATACCTGCCTTTTAAGAGCACATGTACACTATAAAGAGGAGCAATCAAAAGGTATTACTGAGCAGGCTTTGAACAAGCTAGCACTGGGATAGGACACTATCACTGCACCACAGCACCACTGCAGTCTGGCTAATTATTCATCTCCAAAAGTTAACAAGTAGACTTGGAGAAGCAAGGCTGGTTAGACACAGTGACACTGTTCCTGGGACCCAGCCTAGTGTTCGTGCATGGAAGCACAATGGACCTTTTAGCTGCATCAGTTCACTCACAACTAGCTCAGGTCTTGGAGGTTCGTTGTGCAATGTAGAAAGATCCCTAGAGAATTAACACAAAATCTGCCTCAAAGGATGCTGTTCACAACTATCTGAGATACTGCCCATAGATGTTGCTTCTTCAGGTGAAGTAAACAAAACAGGCTGGGGAACAGTTGTACAATTTATATGCACTAGAGGGAAATGGAGGAACGATTGCTTCTGATATTCCTGGGAAGCCAGCAAGTATTTCTAAATCTATTCTGGACATATTATTATTTTTTAAAATAATTTAACAACAACAACGTAAGCCTAAAGTCTGTGTGGTTTAGGATAAAAATCTTCATAATACATTTTATACAGTTTTCATTTTACAGGATTCTAAAAAGTCAAGTGCAAAGCCTATTTCTTCCCTGCAGAGGCTTTATTAGTGTTTTAACTTAAACATGGGAACAACTGTTTTACAGACTGTTTTCTGACTTTTAGTTTGCTTTCAACCCATACTTCTTCCAAAACCAGAAGTACATATACGTATCAGGTATATATATGGAGGTATTTCACCTTTACTTAAACTAGGAGTCACTTAATCAATAAAGAGAAGATCATAGTTCATCACAATAAATGACAAAGGCAATTGATATGAAGTTAGTTAAAAGACAAAAAGCACTTAGATAAATTTGAAATTCATAAACAAACAGTATATTAATTAAGACCATGTGACCAAAACAAACTTTAGCTGAATTAAAATAAAACCGAAGTCTTAGCAGCATAATTCTTACCACTTCAGCTTAGTGAGAAGCCTGACATCAGTCATCATTAGGCCCTTTTCCTGCTTAAGTACACTCTTGCTTTGGGAGATTCCCACATAAATACTGAGCTATGCTGTCCTCCGCTTTAGCCGTTCAGGATGTGAAATGACCGAGCTGCAAGACAAGGGGAAGAGTCTACTACATCTCTGCAGGATATTGCCGGAAATGTTGTAATTAATCATTTAGAATTTTGACATTGTTTCCATTATCAGGGATTGCAACTGGCCCTAGGCCTAGAAGTAATTAAACAAATATTACCCTCCAGATTTTTATTCTTCTAGTCACATCCTTAAAATCATCAGTTGGGGGAGAGGATGCTACTGAAAAGATTCAAAAATACATTAAAGACATATTCAAGTAATTTTTACATGCAGCAAAGGGATCATGATAAATTGCATTGTTCCAGTATCCTTGTAAATCATTAGCCTTTTTTGGAAGCTGATGACAACTTATTTTTAGCGTAGAAAATTTACCATTATATTTAGTTGATTTTCCCATCATTGACTAATTAATGCAGGCTTTAAAAAAAAAAAAAGCCCAATTCTATTTTTAGACTGAATCCACATAATTCCAGTTATTACAATAGTTATGGATTTTGTTAATTCTGTTCACTTCTCAACAGAACCTACTTCAGTTTACAAGTGTACCTAAGGATATTATCTTGGCAGAAGAACAATCTGCATGATTAATTTGGAGTGGCAGAAAAGCTGTCTGGCACTCCCTGTGGGCACGCTTTCTAATGAGAGAAGCAGCTTAGCTTTCCACTGCCACAAAAATCAGCAGGACCAAACAAATTACTTCCAAATATCTCTGTCTCAGTGTGAGGTGCCATTAATCCTTTTCTCTGCTAGCCAGTAGTCTCTTTGTCATATTAAAATTGGATTTTTACTCCACAAAGACAATAAGTGTTACAAAAACCATATTATTTCTTTTTGCTTCAAAACCAAAAGAATTTAGCTCCCTCCTTGCTTTACACATGTACTTCCCCTATTACCAGCACTCTTTAAGTGCTCTAATTTTAAAAAATATTGATGTTCATAACACTTCCATGTGGTGAGTGGGTAATCATTACTTCACAGCTCAGGAAATACTTTGAGACAAAAGAATAGGTGTCTTAACACTTCAGCTTGTGCCGAGTTCCCCATAGACTTCCTGTGTCTCCCAGAGGCTGGTTAACCATAACCAGCAGTATGCAAAGAGTTGGTAGCTGTGCCTCTGCCTAGAGGCTTTATGCCCACTGGGTTCCTATTTCAGCTGTTAGGCAAAATAAACTTTCAGTGTTACTCTGAGTACTGATTTATTTTTCTTTTAAGCAGAAAATTATCAGGAAACTATATTAGTTAGACCACACCACTCCTGCTTCAAGGCAGAAGGAAAACTGCACTTATTAGTGCAACCTAAGCCACTACTTAAAATTCTAATTTTTCTCCTATCTCTGAATTTTTGTGGGAAGAACTGTACCCCTCCATCTTTTCCAGTCCAGTTCCTGTACTGAAATGCATTTTACACAGCAAAAGAAAGGCCTGTTTCTTTCTTTTTCCTCTCATCTCAGCAAACAGAAAGACATCACCAGTGACTGGATAACAGAACTGAAAGGACACTACGTCCACCAGCTATAAATAGGAGGAAAATGAGAACTTCCATCTGTTTTTATGAAATATCCTGTGTTTGCTTTTTTTTGCCTGCACTATAGCCAAGAGCACATCTTTCTACACTATATGTAGCAGAAAAACATGTTGTCTATCAGCATCAACTAGCAATATTATAACTACAAACAGCCTCTTATTTCCCAGGTATTTCACGTTTTTACCAGTGAAACAAGACTATCACATGATAATTCAGCATTTCCTTCTCATAAAATAATCTGTATCCCAACCCAGAGGCTGGACAGTTACAAAACATCAGGTAATACCCATAAATCATGATTTTAAAGTACTATTTTCAACTTTCTAATGCTTGCATTACCTGCTTGAATATTATAAATCCATTTGTTTCCATTATACATACCTTCGGAATTATATCAAAATATAACCAAAAATGCCAGGGCTTTGCTACCTTAATTTCTGTTACCTCCAGTTCACCTAACCCATGCCTTCTCCATTCTCCCATCAACCCCTCCCATGCACATTTCCTTAATTTAAAAGAACATCAATCTGTATCCAATGTGCAGAGGTGGGTATGGCTATGAATAATTCTGATAGTCGATTTTTGTCATTACCATATTATTTACAGGCATAAAGATTATTAATTTTGATATAATAACCAAAGACTTGAATAGTCAGTGCTATTGGTATCAGTAGCAGCTTTCTGGTGTAGTGTATGGATTGACATGCCGTAGCAATAGTGAAAGATGGAGAGTCTGTCATGGTACTAATTCAAGGTGCAGAAAAACAAATGGATGAACATACAGCAAAGGATCAGCACTACCCATTTTCAGACTTGCTAAAATATTTTACTGTCATCTGACTTTGAGTTATGATCAGAAACAGAAACGTATATGCAGTTGTACAAAATATGCCTTAACACTGAACGTAATCAGTATCCTACACTACTGCTTAATCTCACTGAAGGAATTTTAATTTAGAACTGGTTCATGCATTAGCACCACAGACGGCCCGGCTCAGTTCACACTTCCAGTAGTTTCGCCTCATCCAGCTGAAACCCATTCCCTGAGCTCGACAGCCGCCTGCCGGTCAGGGACAGCCCCGCAGCGGGACAGACCCCACCCGGCTGCTGCCGCATCAGCCGCATCCCACCGCAGGGAATGAGGGGTCAGGTACGGTAACGGGAAACTGAGAAGGCCAACGGTCCCTTCATTGTCCTACCTTCCGTACAACTGCAGGTCTTGACTGCTCTCCTTCAAAGGATTTCTTTTCAGTTGCCAGTGGTTTAATTTCAGGTGTCCTTCCCTGATTTCACATCTGTCGTGGTTCCTCCTTTTCTCATGAGAAAGCCGATGTCCACAATGCATAGTACCACATTTAACTGATGAAGAAAAACTTTCTAAGGATTACAGCCTGGAGAGAAATTCAAAAGTAATTTGCATATCCAAGAAAACTCCCTCCCACTATCAATCACTTTAAAAGAACAAAAATCAGTAAATCAACAAAGAGAATGAGAACAGAGCATCCTGTGCACAGGATATCCCACTAAGCAAATAATTTACCTTTCTATGTCTCTGTCTCACATTAATAAAGATAGCTACAACCCCATTTATCATTTTTATTTGTTCCGAGTGAGGTTCTGAACAAAGACTAACTACAGAAACTTTCAAATAATCTGAAAGAACAAAAACAAAAGTAAAGAAATCACTTGTTTATGAAGGAATTTTGGTTTTGTGACATTACATTTTTGAATCTCTATTTAACTAAATTCAAAAACCAGTACCTGCTCTTTGGACTTCAAAGGTAGATCAAATCTAGCCAACTAGTAAGAGTCTTGTCCTCCACACCCCCTTATCTTTGTACATTCTTCTCCATCCCTCTGAAACAAGGTGAGATGCAAAGGGAAGAATACATATTTATGTATTTATACTTATCCTCTAGTAGACAAGGTTTTTTCCTTTTGGATTTATCACTACCTTGGGTACTCTCCTTATGTTCAGATCTCACCAGCTGATGAACTTTTGAAAATTAAATACACAGAACATGAGGGCTTGAGTTGTGTTGCTACTACATTTGTGTCCTTAAAAGCTAATCCACAAAAAGAAGGTACCACGTTACTATTTCCTATGACCATTTTTCACACTAAAAAATGCATAATTTTCAGCACCAAATAAAAAACTTGACTGAATTTGAGGAACAAATTGCTCCTCTAAGTTGGAATATATAGACCACTGAGGCAGATTACAAAAATATATCCCAAACCAGACATATATATGAAATTCTATTTAAACATTCAGAACCTTTATTCTATATTCATAAAGAAGAAACTTAAAATATGCTATTGTAACACAGTCAATACCAGAGATTTCATTTTAGGGAAACGTCCAATTCTCAATCCCCTTTTCACATGATTAAAGCAAAGGCACAGTAAAAGCAATCAACGAAATGTCCTCCCTCCAGGCTTGTCTGCTACTATAGTTCTTCCTGCAGGACTGTGTGATTCACGCCCTAGATCCTTTGCATCTAGGAAGGGATGCATCATGCCAGTTGATTATCTTCCTGAGAAGAAGGTCTGAGGGGTGATTTTTGTCTCAGAAGATCAACTAGCACTACTAAAACGGTAAAAGAACTTTTTTTTTTTTTACACATTTTGGAAAAGATAAAAAGATAACTCACCAACAGTGACAGACAGTTTAGACCCGTGTTTTCACATCCTGCAGACAGGATAAATACCTATCTCATATTCAGTCAAAAACTGTCCATTTCATTTTAATTATATAATATATTCAGCTAATCTAATTTCTTTTGTTTGTAAAGCTTTAGTTTTGTTTAAACTTTATTTAGAACTATATTTTTAAAAACAATTTTTTAAGCATCTCAAAACCTGTATAATTTTTGTAGAAATGAAAACATGATTGTTTCCAACAACAGACCATATTGAAAACAAGAGAACAAGTTATTCATAATTTAAGGGTAATGAGTTTACTTGCATACAACTTGCCCAGCAAACCCAGACAACTAAATTACCACAAGTATAGAACACCTAAGACCACCAGATAATATGGAAGATGTATGTAAATACACATTGAAGAAGAAACTGTATTTAAGTTTGAATTTTACCTGTTTGAGTATTAATTATCTGCATGTGAAAATTATACCAGTTAGGTGTTTGCATAACAGTATGAAAAAAATAAATCTTTGCTGCTCACCTTACTCCTTCATACATATTTTCTAATGTTTTCAGAGAGTGAAGTCTCCTTTACTGCAGGCTGGGATGGGGAAGACATTCCAATTTTGCATTACTAACACTGACACTGCTCTGATAAATTTAGTTCTCTTCCATGGGTTACACTGCTGTCTAACTGAGAATACAAACTCTACCTGCAACAAAAACAACATTGAAATTGATTTCTAATTCAGCTGTGGTTTTTCACTCTGAGGTGAGAGAACGAAACTTGAACACATTACTGAAACCAAGTCCTAGCCCATAACCAGCCATCCCAAGCACTGTACTATTACAAATAAATGCTTTCATCTCTGACAATGACTTTTACAATAAGCCTGTTTGTTTTCTCAATTACTTGCTCTCTAGATGAGTCACCGTACTATGAAGATAACATCTTTTCCTCTACACAGTGCACCACGTTTTAGTTCTGTAGCATGTGAGTGTTAACTTCAAAGCACAGTGTAACATTGCCCACACCTAACTAATACTTGTACAATGCTTTGAAGATGTAAAAGTCTATGATTACTGACTAGTAAGTTTTGAACTAATACCAAAATTGGACTAATAACTACTGAAATCAGTGTGGAAATCGTTCAAAGTTACACCATGCAATACAACTTCAACATTAGTTACCCTGGGTGGGGGCTGAGGGAAAAAAATCAATTACTTCCTTTGAAACAGGAAAAAAAGAAATCTCTGAAGTACTACAAAAATTAACCACATGAACATTCAGCCTGAAGTGTAATCTTTACATCATTTAATATGCCTCTTATAAATCTTCATCCCAGATATGTAAAGTAGACTATTGTCCATCCTTACCTGAAACATTGGTTCAAACTGGGGGATAGAAGTCTTCATCTATTCCAGTAGTTGATGTAGCAATAAATCACGGCCACGATGAGTTAAAATCAAATGTCCCTTTTTCCAACATATGCAGGAGCATCACCTGCTACAGATTTCTACCCTAGATTATTGAAGTTTTTGCTAGGCTCATCCACACAGCAAAACCCATGCTTATTCGATCTATCAACAACTGATGTGTGGAATTTGGTGCATCCAATTTGATTCACTGTCTAATCATTTTGCCGCAATCGCTCCTCAAGTAGTGGCTTCAGTTACATTATAGCACAGTGCCACAGAACAGCATTCAGTCAATCTGTTTCTTTCCAGGAATGCACAGCTCTAGCATACTTGTTGCCCCACATGCCCAAGAACTGGGATAAGTACTTCCAATGACATTATTAAATTCTCAATTACCCATTTCTGTAGCTATGTTTGCATGGTATCAAAAAGAAAAGCACTCATTTCCATCAGGGAAAAAAACAAACATTTGAACTAAGCACAAACATATTTTGCAAAGGAACCTATCGCTCCTGATTGCCAGCAAACCTTAACTGGCCTACACTCCTTTCATCACCAAGTCACACCCACACAGCATACTTTAGTCACAGCTGGCACATGCATTGACTGAACTTTTACCAGGTCCAAGGGCTCAAAGAGCCAGATTGTCTAGTACTGACTGTAAGCACAGTCCAGTTTAACACTGGCCTGCATCCCACTGATGTGCTCTTGCTGTGTAAGCTGTGAAGTAAACCTTTTCCATCTTAGACAGGTTAACAGCATAACACTCAAAGTAAATCTAGCCACAGCATATTTTACCTTTCATATTACACTTCTCCTCCTCCTTCCACATTGTTTTGTGCATGGTTTATACAAAATCACAATCCAACACGAGGAGACTAAAATGAGGTACACGTTTCAGAGTAAGGGTTTTGCTGTTCCACAACAATCATTAAGTAACGTGATTTGGCATTGTTTCAAATGAAAACAATCTTTCCATACAAAAAGATCAGCCAGACATTATTACACAAGTCCTCCTTAATGGAGGTACTTTTACAAAATCTGAAGAGCATCTTTTATATTTGTGGCTTTCTGGGACTATTTCCATTCTTGCAGAAATGCCAGTGTTTCAAAACCGAACTCAACTAGCCACATGTAAATACTGAAATTCAAATACCTTCTTAAGCATTTGATGTTTAGAATCCTTAAGACACTCCTTTGAAAGCACCTCAGTGTAGTAAATACAACTATATTCGTTATCCACAATGTCATACAGACATACACTTTATTAAAGTAACAGAAAAGAAAGAATACGTAAGAAAGTCACTTAGTGAAAGCACTCTGAAACAGACTGTCAGAATAATTATGGAAAACCCACAGATAATCTCATCAACTCAATATTTAAGAAACAGACACATCCTTATCCATGTTTCTTCTGAGACAAAGTAACAATACAGTTCACTAACCAAACTTTAAGTTCCATGTACCTGGTGTACCAAAAACATCAGGGGTACCACAAATTCAGAAATCTGTCCTCACTGAACATGTAGTGCATAGAAGCACAATAACAAAGCAATACAAAATTCTTCATTTGTTGAAAGATCAGTGAAGATTCTTCCCCTGTAAGTGCCAGAGTTTATTTTTCACACTTAATGCAGAATGGCTGAATAAGTAATCTCTAAACATGACTATCTATATTAAATTAAATTCTTATTTCCTCAGCCTCTGCCTGTGGCCTTTCACTTTGTGAAAGTATTTCAGCAGCTGATACACAATCTACAGGGTTTTTGTTCAACTTCTCAGGTGAAGAATGTCAGATTATAAAAATGCATATATACAAAATGCAATTCCCAAAAGGAAAGAGAGCAGGTCAAGCCCGGAAATATTGTTTGCAAGCATTAACAACCCCAGTGAACAGGAATGCTATCCAACAGCACTCAGGTTGTAAAGACTTAAGTTCACAAAGAGTGTTCAGTGGGCCAAAATAACAACAGGGTTTAAGTCGTCTTAACTTTTTTGTTTTTAAATGCAATGAAGAAGACAGACTATTCATTAAATATAAAAGCAATTTTATAAAAACACATCAGAATTTTATTGCTTGAAGAATACAGCATATGAAAAAGCACAAGAATGTCCAAAAAGAAAGGTCACAAGAATCCAAACATATTACACCATACATACCAGATGCAGTAAAATGTTAACCTGATTTCTGCATCAGAAAAGAAAGGTGTGAAAATATACCTAGTATTATTTAGAAGGAAAAGACTCATTTAAAATAGAAAGTGTGAAGGTGTTACAGTACAAATTAGAAAAGCCAACACTGCACATTAACATTGTATCACTAGACTAGATTTTCTACCTTTGGTACTTAAACCTTTACAGAAAACCACTTCCTCGGTCAAACCTTGCCTAACATCTGTCATATAGTATCCACAAAAGTTTTTTGTTTTGTTTTTCTTTTTTAAACTTAAACATTCAAACAAATACTTTTCTGAGTTTTCACTGCACTAATGCATTTATCCAATATGCAACTTAAGACATCCCAAATTTAAATCAAAAGTCACTATGTGACTGAGATCTGAATATATGCCAATTATATCCTGTCCAGATCTTCATGTAAAAACGGGCTCACCATTTTCTGTTTGCATCCTTATGTAAACAGACTGCTGCAGCCCTCCTCAAGAACTCTAACTGGACCAGCTTGCTGAGGACATAAGTTAATAGAACAATCCACATTATTAGATAGAGATCATCTACAGCAGCATGCAAGTGGCTTTTCTAGTCTGCTCAGATTAGTGTACCAGAAGATATGCCAGTATTACTTCAAGTAACACATTAAAACTCAGCAATGGACACTACTGTGCTTTATTTCAACACAAAGGACAGCTGCTCATCCATTAAATCAACAGAACTATCGAAAGGACAAGTACATAATTTCTGTTTCATGTATTGCTGATCACTCTTGGGGAATAGTTTATCAAAAACCTAGATTTACCTACAAACCAGTCTGAATAAATTGCTGTCTTTCAACAAGGTATTTTAGTAATCCAGTGGCAACCTAGTCTGGAGAATGTTAGCATTATGCTGACAACAAGGACTAATCAAAGTTAAATAAATTCCCTCTTTTATGATAAGCATGCTCTTAAGGTCAGCTTTTGCCTTCTTAGGCTTGAATATTTAATCACTCCCAGTCACATCAGCAGAACAAACAGTTTTGTTTCATTAAGTTCCAGCTTCATATTTCAACAATATGAATAAATCTGGACTATGAAATACCATCAACAACAGTTAACATTAAACTGGAGTGAAATAATAGAAACGTTAGTTCTTCAAACCAGGCAGTCTCTTTGAAGAGAAATAATCAGTTAGGACTGTCAAAGGATGTCATGATAAAACCACGGGTTTATTTTTTTCACCCCTATACAAAAAAATGATTGAATTTGTACAACTCCTATTAAACATACCTTTTCCTAGCTTGGTGAAAATGTATCATTTTCAAATTTTAACCAGTGTGGTATTCGAGCATATATAATGTTTATTGCCATTTTAAAAAGAACTAAGAATTCAGGCTCTTCTATGCTGAACTCCGCTTTTTCCCATTAACAGATTATGTCTACTGTACCACTCCCCCAAAAACAATTAAAAATTCTAAGTAAGATTTTATAGTTTAGTTAAAAGGGAAGAAATGCAAATGTGGATTTAGAGCTTTTTGTATAAATCTCACTATATTTTATAAACTTGTTGTTTATTGTAACACTGTTTATTGATCAAATAAATGACGCACCGCTATCTAAAATTTCCATATACACCATTAAAAATCCAAAGTTGATATGATACTGAACCTTAATTCTTCAAGAGTTCAAAAAAAAGACAGTTTATACATGTACAGCACACAACAGCAGACACCCCTAGAATACCAACTGCCAGTCCACGATGCATACAAACTTACAGGTAAGCATTCATTTCACTGTTTTCGTTGTGCAGGAAAAGTATTTCTTAGTAAGACAACTCAGCTGGTGATTTTCAGATATCATCTTCATCATCTTCATCCTGAGAGGATCCTGCCTGATTGGATGCACTGGCTGAGGCAGCAGCGAGCTGTGCCTGTTGAGCTGCTTGCTGCATCTGTAGCCATTCCTGCTGCGCCAGTTCTGCTTGCTGTTGTCTAGCCTAGAAACAGGAATTTAATAGTTAAGGCCATACAGAGCTTGTGAAGAACCTTCAGAACACATTAGCTTTAAAAGTATTTTTATCTGTACCTGCAGATTCCTTTTGTATAGCTTTTTATTAATTGTACATGCAAAACCTAGAAGTACCCTAATTATTTGTACCAAGATGTTTGGCTATATTCTGTCTTCCTCTGAAGACACCACTGTTTGGAGGCCTAACAGTTACAAAAAAAACCAGACAGAAGATAGTGTACTTAAGTTCAACTGTAGGAATTCTGCTGAACCACTTCCTAATGAAAATTTAAGTGAGTCAAAGCAATGGAAACTTTAGACTTCAGTTTCAAGGGAACTTAACATTTAATCACAGTTCAGAGATGAGAACAGCCTTACTTTGTTGATTACAAACACTGAAGCTTCCAATTATAAAATCACCCAGTTGTACCACAGAGGCACACATTATTACAAAAAGAAAGCCATTATTACATAAAGAAAGCCATTATCTTGCTTTGCTAAGCAATCTTTGGAAAACAGAGCTAGGTAAGCTCTTCTCAAATTCAGGTATGCACACTGAGGACAGCTGTGCTACAGAAACGTATAGTCCTTTTCAGTAAAGCAAAATACAAGACATTCTAACAAAACATTTCAAATAGTTCAACTGATAAACCCTTGTTTTTCAATCCAGGCTTTTCACTTGTTTTTCAGCAACTCCTGTTGATTTCAACAGTATACTTATCAATTGTGTTCATGTTAAAACTTTAATTTCTGTTTTGAGTGAACATTATGAAAAAGTTCTTAAAATTAAAAATTCTCAGTCTTCTTTCCGTTTCTACTTTTACAAGTCATCACTAAGACTGTAAAAAATTCCTTTCTAATCCTATTGCACTCATTGAAAAATTCTATTATTTTCCAAAGCATCAACATTTTTTACAGTTTTGCAAACTATAGGATGCCAAAAAGACGATGCTTTGGAAAACAACTAAACCCAGTTTATCTACTTAGCAATGTAAAGAAAAGGGGTCTTCCCTTGTTATAATTGTCACAGTTCCTCAGTCTGTTCTAGCAGTAAAAGAAAATACTTCTGTAGAAGTAGAAACTTTTTCTCAATTAAGACTTTTTAGTATTTCAAACTTCAAGTGGTTGCACAATTGAAAGGGCTGGAAAACAATTTAAGACATCATAGAGTTTTAAAGGAAGACAGCAACATCTGTGCATACGGGAGAGGCATAAACATTTATCACACATGAGATAACAGGGCTCCCTACTGACCCTGCTACAATGAAGTTAACTGCACACTCCACGAGGTGACACACAGCAATGCACCAGGAAACAGGGGCTCAGCACCTCACACCAGCTGGATCCTGCTGTCAGTGCCCACCCTCACTTCGGATTTATAATGGTAACACTTGGCCATTTAAAAAATGGAACAAAAAAAAGCCCAAACAACAACAACAACAAAAATTCCCTTGAGTTGTATTGACCAAGAAGCTTTATAAGCATCTGGTAAACTTAAGTCATTTACCACACAACCTCAGTGAGGAAGCCTCAAAAAAAACCCAAATCCATTAAGAGCTTTGTCTTGCACGAAAACTTATAGATGTGCATGAATATCAGGATAAGCCATTCCCCTGACTTCAAATATTTACAACCAGGCAAGACACAGGTGTCAAACATTCCAAACATTAACAGGCAGGTATTT